AGGTCTTGTGTTGTCCTTTTTTTCTGTACCCCTGTGTCCTCCCTGCCCCAGTCCTGGAATCAACCACTTCTCCAAGGACTCCCCGTTTCCTTCTCTCTTGTTTTGCTTGCTGCCCCTCTGTCTTTCAGGATGGTGTTAGATACCAACAGCTGTGGTCCAGGGGTGCTCACTGCTACTAGGATGCCATTGCTTTCAGAGCCTCACAAAGGACAGCAATATATGCATGTATACACTCATGTGTATGCAAGATCAATATTTATGTATCTGTTTGTATAGATTTAAAAAATAAAAGTGCAGAATGGTATCTCTGTCTTCATACCACCAGGTTCATCCTGATATTGGCTCCTACTTGTTCTCTGACAGTGAGAACTGACTCACTTTCTGGGAAATGTTTCCTTATTTGTTCAGTCCTGGTATGAGCAGACAGTAATTCCAGGATATCTAAAATATACTACTGAGAGATGTAGTTGGAATTTTATTTGAGCTGCCAACCAGCTCCCAGATAAAGACATGGAAACTTATTATTAATTATTACTGCTTGGCCTTAGGGTAGGCTTGTCCCACTAGCTCTTTTAACTTAATTTAACCTGTTTCTATTCATATACATTTTGCCTGGGGCTTTTTACCTTTCTTTCATTCTGTATGTCCTACTTTCTTGCTTCCTCTGTGTCTGTCTTTCTTTCTTTCCCCAGCCTAAATTCCTCCTCCTACTTACTTTCCCTACCTGGAAGTCCTGTCTACACCTCCTCCCTTGCTATTGGCCATTCAGCTTTTTATTAAACCACTCAGGTGCCTTAGGCAGGCAAGGTAAAACAGCAGCACATCTTTATATAATTAAACAAATACAACACATCTTTACATAGTTAAACAAATGTTCTGCAACAGAGAAAACAAAGTCCATCTGTTTTAATCTTTAGCCTTACAATGTTTGGCAAAACGACTATGTTCTGGGCTTTGATTGCTTTTTTCCCCACTTAGTGCCGTGGTAATGCAGCCTTATTTTTGATAGCTTACTTTTTGTTTTACATTTCTCCTGCATCTTCGTGTTTTTAAATTTTTATGCAGTAGCATTTACTCTTTGGTGCATACAGTTCCATTGGTTTTGACAAGTGCAAATAGCTGTATATCTCCTCACCATGACAGAATAAATTCTATCACAAATATTTTATACTTTTTTAAACCATTAAAATAATATAACAACTTCACAGAAGTTTGGGAACTTAGGCACTTTGTATATTTTTGGACATTTTTACAGGTGTGAGATCTTTTATCCTTTTTTTAGTTTAGTGTTTTAATCATGTAACATGTGCCATCTTTATGAGTAAAAAAAATAAAAAGTGCTGGAATGTACTTTCAGTCAGTATTTAAACACACTTGTACAGCACATTCTGATATTGAACTGGGATCTTCCTACAACAGGCGACAAATGTGAACGGTTCCATGATGTGATGCCATACTAGACAATATTTTGTTATGATAACATTGTGCCTGCAATCATTTCAATGCTATGCTCTCAGATATAATATATAACTATATATTACAATTTTGTAAAAACAGAAAATGATAGAGGAAAATATTTTAAATTCTAGTTAGAAGGAGACTGAACTTCTGTAGAAAAGTCTCTTGAGACACCATTTTTTCCCCACTAATCAGACCTTTGGTTAGAATATGGAGAAGTGCTTCTGGTGGAATGTAAACCATAAGAACCTTTTATGGCACATTTGGCAATGTGTGTATTTTTAAAACTTAAAAGTGTGTCTGCTTAATATTTCTATTTTTAGCTGTCTGTGTTAAATAATCATGGTGGTAGTATAGATTAATGTATGAGGAAAGTAATCACAATTCACTTATAATAGTGGAAAATTGAGATCAACTTAAATAGCATACAATAGATGATTAGATTATGGAACATTCACAATGTAATCCTATGCTACTAAAAGTAAGTACGCAATAGAAATATTTACATGGTAACATTTTCCATATACTTGATCATGTTATTCAAATAAATCCAACATTCATTCATCCATTGAGTCCAGTAATAGGTTACTATGTTTATTCTATCCTTTTATTTTCTTTATTGTTAAAACATGTTTTTTTACACTCCTTTGCAGTGTTTTGAGGGGGAGAAGGGTGAATTCAATAAATGTTTATTGACCACATTACCTACCAAATACCTTAACAGACTCTCAGGATCCTGAGATGCACCAAAAAGAAATGTTCATGAACACACACACACACACACACACACACACACACACACACACACACACTTTCTGTCTCTCTCTCTCATCTACCTCTTTTCCTCCCTCTCCTTTTAGTAGTTCTTTTAATGAGCAGTTTATTAAATTCAGTCTTGCATGTATGAAAATAATTATTTTGACTTTACCATAAATGATAATTTGCCTGGGTATGTAACAACTCCCTAGTACTTTGAAGACATTCCTATCTTTTGATATATTGCTTTGATGAAAAGTTGGCTGCATTTGTTGTTTTCATTTATCTGTTATCTCTAGTTTGCTTTTTAAGATTTTTTCCCTTTGTCCTTGATGCTCTGCAGTTTCCTGTCATGTGCTTAGGTGAGTTTGTTTTTATTTATACTAGCAGGGCTCTGTGCTTTTTCAACTTGAGATCTTCTGCCTTAATTCTCAGAATATTTCCTTTGAATAATTTCTGTTGGTTGTTTTCTGTGTTCTTTTCTATTTGTTACTCAGCTTGTGAATTTATGTTCTTTATCTCCTCATTTATATTCTTCATCTTTTCATCTTCCGAGTTCTGATAGCTTCCATTAACTAGTCCTCTCGTTTCAGTTTAGAGGGTTTTTTTTTTTTTACTTGCTTTATGTTCCAATTGGCCTGTTAACTCTTTTGTAACAACAATCCACTCCTTCTTTCACACAGACTTTGAAAAGTCTGTTTCTTCATTTATGTCTTTGTATATTTAAGAATAGATTTGACATTTCTTTTCTTTTTGATCACTTTCTCATTCCCAGGCCCTGTGTTATTTTCTGTTTTTGTTTGTTTGTTTTTCTTGAGTCTGTCTCTTTTCATGCTCTACTTCTCCATGTCTCTCTAGTTCCTGTCTCCTCTGGGGTTTAGTTTTAACTTTTTTGGTGCCTACACATTTTCCTTGGGAGCTTGTATTAGGCATAAGAACCAAGTTCTTAGCTATGGGTAGTGGAAGTCTTTTTTTATAGCCTTTGCTTCAAGATTTTCAACTGTGGAAGAAAGGAGAAAAACAGAACTTATTTAAAGCAGTTCTTAATGTTTGGGGGCATTAGATCTCTTTGAGAATCTGAAAACAGTGATCTTAAAGAGTCAGGGTCTCACAGAATCAATACGCGAATGTGTATCTATATGAGACCTGGACTAGGAAACCATTAACCCAACAGGATTATATGTTCAACTTTATTATTGTTGGCCTGTGGCCTAAAGAGGTGGCATCAAGGCATGATATATGTTGTTAGTGTTCAAGCTTGGCTAAGCATTTATGTAAAATCAGTTAGAAGTTCAAATTTATAAAATTGATGTAAGTAAAATTTGTTTAGTTAAAGCCAGTGTGGGATTCTGGAGCATGCTCACTTCCAGCTCCTACCTCTCCTGTCTTGTCCCCAGAAGCATATGCTGGGACTTTTTATATGGCTATAGAATCCTGGTGACACAGGGGAAAAAACAAAAAATAAAAAACAAAACACAAAACCACATCCATATATCTGCAGGGAATCTGGTTCTTAAAAAAAAAAAACTTAAGTACATTTATTTATTTGTGTATGTCATTTGTGTGCTACAGTGTGCATGTGGAGGTCAGAGGGAGTCAGTTCTCTCCCATGGAGGACCTGGGAATCGAACTCAGGTTGTGTCTTGGCAGCAAGTGCTTTTACCCACTGAGCTGTCTCCTGCTCTTATAAATATGCTTCTTATTGGAGTTCTATTGCCGGTCATTTAGCAGACATTGCTAGTCACCTTATTTAAAAAGGAAGAGATGAGGGCCTTCAGTGAAAGGAGTTCTGTATTCTGCAGTGTACTTGGAGTCTATAATTACACAATTATATTATGATGACGTTGGAAGTGGAGTTTGATATAAGTAGAAACATTGAGTGAAAATTTTCCTTACAGTTTTGCTATTTGGCAATTCTTTTGAAAGATGGCTATTCGCTATCCAAAGTATATTAGGAAGTCCTCATTTTTAGTGATGTTTACATACATACTTAACATTGCAAAAGACCCTAGGAGAGAGCCATCAAAATGTAAAGAATAGGTACTTAAGGTTGAGCAGATCATTGATAGTTTTATTTTATTCTGTTCACTTTTGTATTTTCTTTAAACTTTTTGATTGTATTTTTATTTAGAGTGTGTGTGCCCATGTAGACACATGTACCATATTAGTTAGAGAAGTCAATTCTTTTCCTCTACTGGGTGGGTCCCAAGTATTGAACTCAGGTCTTCAGACTTGGTGGTAAGCTCTTTTACCCACTGAGCCATGTCATGGGCCCCCACATATTTTCTGAACATTCTAGAGTAGATTGGGAGGTAAAGGTGGGAGGATCGGGGTTTCCAGGCCAGCCTAGAGTTACATAGTTCCTGTCCTGCCTGTGCTATGAAAATAAAACAGTTTGAAAAGTATTTGAGAATGGCTAGATACTACTTTAATAAAAATAATATTTTAATATACATAATTTCATAGAAAAACCAAGCCATTCAAGTTCAATTTTGGGTTTAGTATGTATTTGGAGTAAAGAGTAATTACATATTGGTTGATTTTTTTTTAAAAAAATTTATATGAATGTTTGCCTGCATGTATGTCTGTGCACCATGTATACAGTGCCAGAGGGAGCCAGAAAATGGTATCAGAACTGGAACTGGAGTTAGAAGTGGTTGTGAGCCATCATGTGGGTGATGGGAACTAAACCCGGGTCCTCTGGAAGAGCAGCCAGTGCTTTTAACTGATGAGCTGTCTCTCCATCTCTGTATTCCTTATTTCTAAAAAGAGCAGAACCTGTTGTAAAAGCATTCTTAAACGTTCCTTTGTAGGTGTTTCTGCATGAGAGAAGAGCCGCTACAGTGGAAGAGGCTTAACAGGCTTTAGGATGTCTGAGGATGAAGAAAAGGTGAAGTTACGCCGACTTGAACCAGCTATCCAGAAATTCACAAAGATAGTGATCCCGACAGACCTGGAGAGGTTAAGAAAACACCAGATAAACATTGAGAAGGTGAGGTTCATTTCTACTGCAGAAGCAGGTACCTGCATGGATTCTTGCTTGCTGTCTATGATTTCAGCTGAGCAGAGAACCTGAGACTTCCTAAGACACCCCCACTTCACTGATAGAGCAGCATTCACTTTTTAAGCTGGTCTCATGTTCTACAAATGTAATGCTCATATATTCTCTTTATTATGTCAAGGAAGGGTGATAGGAGTAGAGTTTATACCTTTTTAATTTACATGTGGAGGCTTTAGGTAGTTAGTAATTAAACTCAAACTATTTGATAGTGCCCCATAATGGGAAGGTGGGAGCTGTGGCTGATGGAGCTGCCTTAATCTCATTCACCCCATGGCAAGTGTTTTGAACTTGTGCCTATCAGTAACTTCTGTCCTCTTCATGTAAAGATGTAAATCATTGTGTAATGGGAGGGAATTCCCTTTCTTCGCTGCTTCTCTTTGACAAAGGCCCAGATTGGGAAGTACTGCCAAGGAGGGCTGGGGAAGCAGGCAGAGGGTAGATGAGCTGCTCAGAGACCATCATAGACCCTGCCGTGGACAGGCTGTGATGTGGGGCTGTGACAATTACAGCAGCCTCAGGTTTACTGAGAACTGAGCTCTGACTTGGAAAGGTGGGTTGTCTTCTGCTTTAAGCATTTAAACATCGACTTCTCTTTTTTAATTTTAGGATTAGGGTAGACTCTGTGGTCAATAAGCCTTTCAATATAAGCTCTATTCATTAAAAATACCAATTTGTTTTCTCCTACCAATTTTTCTAGTATTTAAGTGCTTTTGAAAAAACACAGAAACTGAATTCTAAGATGTCTGAAATGGAAATTTCTTTGAGGGCTTTTTTTTTAGAATTCAGGATTAATATTTTTTTCATCTCTTAATTCCTCTTCTTTACATGTAAGACGTAAGTGATAGCTATAACCTGTAAGGATGCAGAAGGGATTGTCTGGTAAACTGGTTATCTTGGAATGGAAGCATGTGAAAGGATTCCATGCTTTGCTCATGGGATAGAGAAGCATACCAAATCTTCTCCCTAGAGTTGAGCAATGCAAAGTAAACAGTTCTGTTTCTATATTGTTACAGCGTTAAAAATGTGTAAAAGATTTGATAAGATGTGAGCTATTTGATAAGTCCTGAGCTATACCGATTTCTCCATTACAAAGAATGTAAGAATTAGGTAGATGAATCGAGTCTGAAAGGTAGAAGCAAGAGGTCTGTGGACTATTAAAGCCATTTCCCCTTATTGTCCTACTTTGCCTGTTTGAGATTGAACACGTCTTTCTTATTCTGTGTGAAAATGCCTCTCATTGCTCTTCAAGCCTCGCTGCATGTGTGTGCAGTCCTATCGGCGACGGGAGGTGAGACCCCTGCAGCAGGGTCGGAAGGAATGGGTCCGTTACTGATTGGATTAGTTGTGCCAGGTGTCGGAAGAGAATTGTCTGGAGTTAGTGCCATTGATTCTGCCCTGCCTGAACATGTTTCTTTTAGCATTTTTACTTATTATGAAACCTTCAGACATTATCAGATAATTATAATGGACAAACAGATGATAATATCTAAAGCTAAGAAGGCAAACTCATATTGATTTATGCTTTTAAAAAATATGCTTGAACATTTCACTGTCTGTAGGGTTTCTAGATTAATTATGAACATACCTCTTTGTCTGTACAGGATTGACTAGCATATTTGGATGGCTAGGCTATGACATGTAAACATATTTAAAGACTGTAGAGCTCACTCTGTGCCGGACAGTTAACTAAAGTTAGGCTCCAGGTGTATTACAGTGCCTCACTTTCAAAAAGGCATATTCTTCTTGAGGAAAAGGTGTGGAAAGATACAATATTTATTATTCTGGCCATCAGTCATCCAATACGAATTTAAAAGAAAAAAGCCAGACTGGAGGGAAATTGAAGGTAAGCCTTTACAGAGCGATTCTGCAGCAGCGAGAACAAAGAGAGCAGTGTGCTGTGGACACCTGGGCCATGTTCCGCAGGCTTCAGCTGTGCACTCTTACACACGATAATGGTTGTGAACATGTGATCCTGAAGTTGGAAGCCTTAGCATTAAGCTTTCTTAGCCAGTGTGTCATAGGTTTAGCACAGTAAATAGGAGCTACAAGATAGCCAACTTGGAACACAGTTTTCTTTGTTTCATATTGTTGGGGTCTAAGAAGAAACTTACTGTGAGGGATGTACACACAGGATTTATATGAATTATTGTATGGCTGAGAAGCAGGTGAGAAAACCCCCAAATGGCTTATCAGATAAGGTGGAGCTTGTTTGTCTTAGGTTTGCCTCCATCTCATCTCTCAGGGTAATGGAAGCCATCCATTACCTGCAGGCATGCTCCGTCCTACCCAGCTTCATTTTCTTCCTAATGATCTTGTTAGCACTGTTCTATTTTGAAGGTGAATTCCTCAGTAAAGAAGGCAGAGGAGGTATGGCCCTGAGTAATTTTACTTTCTGTCTTACATCTGTTAATGACATGCACCCCATCATTTGCCTCCATTCAAGCTTTGTTCTTTGTTCAAATACCAGCTCTGGTACTTCCTGTGAAGTGTGCTCTGACTGATGTCATCACCTTATATTTAAACATGTTATCTTGACACAACCCTGTGAAGTAGACCTTAACATTTACAGATTGAACATCCACGTTTTAACCCCAGGATACCTGTTGGAGTTATTTTATTAGAGGTGATGCTGTAGCAGGAATGAAGTGGGGTTTTCGGGGAGCTAAAAGGGGTGGGTATACCATACATTATGTGACCATCCATCTGACCTAAGAGAAGGAAAGTGAGCAAGGAAGATGACAGGCTCACCATCACTCGGAGCTGGTCCAGGCTGCTTGGGTACACCATCTCATCTTTGCCTTTGTTAGGCCTGGAGCCCAGGCTCCCCAGCTTCTCTCGTGGGCCCTGCAGAGAGGGCTACCTTCTGTGGTCATGGGGCAGGGCATTTGCTTGTGGGGAGGTGATGTGGTAACTACGTGTGGCTTATGTAAGCCTCCCACCAGTCCTGCTTTTCTCTCCACCACACTTTTTAACTGGTCTCCTGCACCTAGCCTGCCTGTGGCCTCTGTGCCTCTCTCTCGTCCAGCCACTTCTACAGGCCCAGATTGTTGCTCTCTCTGATCTGCTGTACCCACTGCAATGTGTCTATAGTTTTCCCAGCTTCCAAAGTTTGGTTAGAAGTTCTTGTCTGTTGGTGTCTTCTGTTGTGTTCTCATTGCTCTTATGAATTTTCACCTCTTAACATTCTTTATTGTCCTTTTGTGGGATGTTGGAAAAGAGCAGAAATGAATATTTGTGTTCAATCTGCCAGATTTAATGAGAAACAAGATTATTTATTTATTATAGGAAATAAATATTAGCTTTCCTTAAGTATTTATTGGTGTTTTGTATTTGCTGTTTCTTAGATTGTTAGCCTTGAATGATATGTAGAAATAGATTTTCAATTCTCAAGAAGTTTGCAGTTCAGTTAAGGAAACAAGATAGAAAATAATCGAAGAATGATCAGAGGCAGCATAGACTGTGCGAAATGGGTGACATGGACTAGGCAGACGGTTTGCAGCAGGAACCCAGCAGTACCAAATGAAAGAAGCAGGCTGACTTAGTACTTATGTATTTGTTCATATTTGTTTGTAGGTTAATTTGTTATTACAATATAGCCCCCTCACCATCCTGTGACTATCTCCTTTATCAAACTCAGACGATGATGAATGATACTGGGTCTGATAAATGTGCTGATTCAGCTCTTGCCCATGTTTGGTTATCAAGGAGCAATAGGCACATCTTGCAGTTCTGGCCAGTAAGCCTTGACCAAAAGCCTGGTAGGAATTTGGCCCTCTAGAAATATTTTCCTACTTAAAATAAAGATACACATGTAAGGAAACAGACCCCTTTCTTCTAGTGGTCTGGTTATGTCTTCCTGTTGTATATGGAACTATAGCCAGCCCTACAGCATTCGGAGACAAATTTGAGGGCTTTGTTGAAAGTGCGGAAGGCAGAACCTGGTACTTGATGACCTTGTAAGTGCCGATACTGAACCACCTGGCATAACTGCCACACTCCTGGCTGCTTTCTGTGTGACGTAGAGAGTGTGTTTGTTGTTGGAACCACTTTAAAGTTTGTGTTTCTGTATTTAGCAACCTGAAGCATAATGCTGTGGTTCTGCCTTAATTCACTTGCCTGTCCTGCTGTGCGGATAGACAAAGACCATCTCCCGCAGAAGCCAGCTGCTCAGAGATGCTTGCCAGTGGCCCAAACTTAACTACAAGTTTACAGGTTGCTTCTAGAGGTTTTCACACATATTACATCACCCTGCTTTTTACCCTTCTCACCAAATGCTTGGGATCATTGCTTTTCACAGTATATCCTAATTTCATACAAAATTGAATAGTAATCAGTAGCAAACTTAATTATTTTACTTTTTCTTTTTATTATTTAAGAAAA